GAGTCATACTTGCTAAATCGTCAACAAACAGTGAAAACTGATCAGGGAATTTCCTCCTCTGAGCCAGTTCCTTCAGGAGTTCCTCAGGGCTCAGTATTAGATCCCTTACTATATCTGATTTATACGATCGATCTGCAAGACTGTTTAGTCCACTGTAGTATGCAAACTATGATACTCAGTTAGTGTTTGGTTTCGATCCATCAAAGGTTGATGAAGTTTCTTTTAAAGTTAATTTAGATTTGGCTAACATCGGTGATTACTGTAACAAACACTGCTTGAAGATCAATCCCAATAAAACTACTGCAATGTTGTACTGTTCGAAGAACTCCTACCGTGAAATGAAGCAGAGGATTTGTGTTTTTTTGGATGAGACACTCATCCCTTTTGTGGATTACGCCAAGAATCTCGGTGTTACCCTTGATTTAAATATGAGATTCGATCGGCATGTCTCTTTCTTATCTAGAGTATCATATTTAAGTTTGAAACTCCTCTATTCCAATCGATACATCTTGAATTTTAAAACCCGAAAAAAGCTCGCTGAAAGTCTTGTGTTGTCTGTCATTTCTTACTCTCTTGTTCTGTATTACCCATGTTTAGACTACGTCCACAAAAGGAAACTTCAGAAAATTCAGAACAGCTGTTGTAGGTTTATTTTTGGATTGCGCAAGTTTAGTCGCGTCTCAGATAAAATCAAAGAACTATTATATCTTTTGACCGTCTTCACTCATAAAGTTCTACTATCTAACAGACCAGCTTACCTCGCTAGCAAATTAGTTCACCGAGGTAGTTTTGTTACCAGAGCTCTTAGATTTAATGCTAATTTTAACATGCCTCCTCACAATACCTCGGTCTTTGAAAGAAGTTACACCTATAATGCTGTCAAGCATTACAATGCAGTCAACAGTAGCTATCGATCCAAACAGGTTGTTTCTTTTAAGAAATTAATGAAAAGTCAGCTGCTGGAGTCCATTTAGTTCAGTTTTTCTTGTGCTCATGTGTTTTTTTTTAATTTTTTTTGTTCGACTATTTTCTACTATTTTTTGTTTCAAATTTAAAACTCTCGCAATACTATCTGCATTTGTCTTGTGCAATCAATGTTGTCATTCTTATGAATTGTATATTTTTTTTTGTATGTTATCATTTTGCTTATGTGTTTAAGTATTATTTTTTCCTGTTGTGGGGTTGAGTGTAAGAGTAGCCGTCTGGCTAAACTTCGCCTCACTGCAGATAATAAAGGCATCATTATTATTATTATTATTATTATACAGGGTGACTTCGAAGTTGAGTCATTTATTTTAACAGTGAGTAGATCTGATCAAAAGAAATGTTTTTTTCCTTTACCATTTTTCTGGTAAAATTAAAGTAACAAAGTTATAGCCCTTTGGAAGTTTGAGTACTGCCCTGTCTCAATAATAATATGTTCGTGTTTGGCGACAACGCATATAATCCGCCTGACCGGTTCATCGCATCGGAAACAAAAAAGCGAAAGAATTTGAAACGTTTATCACGATGTTTTTGGTCAGTCGATAACGCGTTAGTGAATTAGTGTTTGTTGCGTGGCTCAAACGAAATCAAAAATGGCACATGTTTACGAAAATGCTGAACTTGTGGACATGATTCTTATTTACGGCGGGGCAGTCTTTACAAAATGCTCCCGGATGCATCACGGATTTATGCGAATCGCTTTCCCAATCGAGTGCAACCAACCCCTCGTGCCTTTGTTAATGTAGTACAAAGGGCTCGTGAATCAGGTGACTTAAGACCTCACAGGTCAGGGCATGCTGCTCCAAGACCGCACGATCAAATACAGGTCCGCACTGAAATACTTGTCGGGACGATACTTTATTAAACAAGGTAACATTTTTTTTTTATTTATTTTTTTATTTTTACACACATATTTTGGTTTATCTTCCTTCTACAATCATTATCTGAAAATTAATGACTCAACTTCAAAGTCACCCTGTATGTGAACAACAGCTCTGAATACGGTCCCGAAATTCATTATTGCCAACGTTACAAATTAATACAAAGATGTCGCTTTTGTGATCAGATATGTTCACCTCAGAGCGTGATGGATAAAGGTGTATTCTTTAATTCACCGGTTGATCTACCGGTGCAAACGGTTAGCCAATTTTGCGTTCTTTAATTTCCGTTGGAACGACCGGTTGAATATCAAACTTGTCTTTATATATTATATATAGTGGATACGCCACCGGTACCAACAGCGTCCACCGACGTTCGGGCTCGGTTGATCTACGATATTCTAACCTGAAACCTCTACATTTTATAATTTTTTGACAATTACAGTTTTGTGTGAAAAATGGAAGAAAGCAAGATTGAAGATATGCTACAGCATAGGAGTGGTGTGAAATTTAAAGTTTTTTTAACACAATTCGAAATAAACAGAGCGTCTGAAAGCAAGTGATTTTATTTTGAATTATGCATATCTGAAAATTTGTTCTTTCTCTCCACTGGATTACTTCTTTATCCGAATCATCACTCGAATCGCTACCACAATATCAACTGCTGCGTACATGGCCAACATTTTAAATGATACGGAGTTCAAATTAACAAGTATCCATTCACGATAAAACAAAGGTTAGTTTTTCTCATATGACAGCAACCTGAAAGCTAAAAATGCGTGTTTTTATTAACCACCATTCAACGGAACCGGTTGTTGTCGTCATCACATCAGCTGTCAACCATAAGTTCACCGGATCCATCAGTGATGGAATCAACTGGTGAATTAAAGAATATATCTATACTCGTGAAATAAGGTTATGTTCTTGTTTTGCCCGGTGTGGCTTTTTAGTTTATTAATAGCACTGATCAACAGCCAAAAAATATCCTAAATAAAATCAACAAAATATTATTACTATTTTTAATGTGCTAAAACCGGAATGAAACTTATTTTTTCAATATTAGTTCAAGTTTTAGAGATACGGTAATTATGTGTTCCTGCTGTCACAGTGTTAATATACTGTAATTCACAAGAATGCACGTGCTACATTTTTATATTCGGCAAGGAAATATGATGTAATCGGCATGATTGTGTTACGTTATACATACGTGTACATTATATTGTTTTATATTAGCCATTTTTTCCTCAGTTGGCTGACAGCGTTCATGCAAGATGTCTCGAAAGAGTGTAAACAATCCAGATCAGTTTTGTTACGTGTGTGGTGATGTGACTTTTGCGTCTCAGAGACGGTCTATTACTCCACTAATAACAAAGGCATATCAGCTTTATTTCGGTTGTAAACTAGGTGATCAAGACAAACAGTGGGCACCCCACATCTGCTGTAATACATGTGCTTCAAGTCTGAGGAGCTGGTTAAATGGCAAAAAACGGTCTATGCGCTTTACTGTCCCAATGGTTTGGAGAGAGCCTACAAATCATACTAATGATTGTTACTTTTGCATGGTACCTTGTGTTGGACAAGCCACAGGTATGTCCAAGAAAAAAAAATCGGTTATTAACTACCCAAACATACCATCTGTGATGAGACCTGTGCCTCACAGTGACGAAAATCCTATTCCAAAACCCCCAGAATCCTACACTTGCTAATCAGAAAACGAATCAGATCATGGCGATCGAGTGATTCGTCAGGAAAAAGATATGCCATCAACGTCATGAGATCCTGATTTTATACCGAGCACGTCATGCCACCAACCGCACAAAATAACACAGTCAGAATTAAATGATCTTGTAAGAGATTTAGAACTTCCAAAATGTAAGGCAGAGTTATTTTGATCAAGACTGCAGCAGTGGAACTTGTTAGAAGACGATGTTTCGGTATGTGTTTTTCGTTAACGCCACAAAGACTTAGAACCATTTTTCAATATGGAAAATAACTTGGTTTTCTGCAGTAACATTAACGGCTTACTGGCGGCTTTAAATATAAACTATAACCCAGAAGAATGGAGATTGTTTATAGACAGTTCAACATTGAGTTTAAAGGCAGTGTTATTGCATATTGGAAATATTTTACCATCTCTTCCTGTAGGGTATGCAGTTCACATGAAATAATCATATGACAATATGAAGTACCTATTGACATGCATAAAATACGATGAGCACCAATGGCATATTTGTGGCGATTTGAAAGTTGTTGCACCTTTACTTGGGCTGCAGCTAGGCTACACAAAGTTTTGCTGTTTTTTGTGTGAATGGGACAGTCGGGCAAAGGCACTTCATTACACCAGGCAAAACTGGCCTGTTCGTCAATTCCTAGAGCCAGGTCAAAAAAATGAACAGCACATGCCATTAGTAGATTCGAAAAAAAATTTATTACCACCACTCAAGTTGGGCCTAGTGAAAAACTTTGTCAAGGCATTAGATAGAGATGGGTCAGCTTTTCAATACCTGCGTCAGAAATTTCCAAGACTAAGTGAGACAAAGGTTAAAGAAGGTATTTTTGTTGGGCTACGGATTCGAAATATTTTGCAAGATACACAGTTTGAAAACACTTTAACAGGTATTGAAAAAACTGCTTGGAATGATTTCCGTCTGGTGGTCACTAATTTCTTGGGAAATAGAAAAGCTGACAACTATAAAACCCTTGTCAAAAATATGCTGTCATTGTATCAAAAGATGGGCTGTAACATGTCTCTTAAGATACATTTCCTATACTCACACCTGGACTTTTTTCCTGACAATTGCGGAGCCGTAAGTGATGAGCACGGCGAACGTTTTCATCAGTTATTTCAACAATGGAAAAAAGGTACCAGGGAAAGTGGAATCCTTCCATGCTTGCAGACTACTGTTGGACTCTTGGTAGAGATGCTCCAAAAACGATCCAAAAAAGACAGCGCATATAGTGATTCTTATAAGTATATGAATCTTGTTACTTTTTTTAATATATCCTTAAAAATAAAAAGTTTTTTTCTAAACCGCAACTAATTTTTTTATTTCATTGTCATTTTTGGATTCAGCGCCCCAAAATTAACAAACAAGTGCACTTTTCCCACAAGATACTACAATTAAAAAACTAAAATTTGTTGTCCAGTGTAATCTATAATCCTATGAATTATGAGGAGATGTGTTAAGTTTGGTCTTCAAACATCGGAAAGAGAATGCAATTTTGGATAGTTATGGTGCACGCACCAAGTTTATGAATTGATTACATTTATTGCTTCTTCTTTTTATCGCCTCTTCTCTTTTTGTCTTCTTCCGGTTTGCCATCAAAATGAGCAGAAACCCTTATAGGAGGCAGAACAACGATCTTGGATTGCGGTAGAAATTCCGAAGCAGACGTGGTTGCTATATTAATTTTAGGTAACACCAGAGTCTGCACACTGTCGATCTTCACCACTCCTCCCAAATCACATTTGTCTGGATCAGGTTCTATGACCTCAGGACCTAAGTCCTCTGATTCTACAGAAACAGGAGGAGTTAGCGATTCCTCAGAGGGCGTTTGAGTCAATGAAATGTTCGAGCCTGATGTAGCGCTACTGCCACTTTCACCTGGTTCGAGGTTTTCCAAAGATTCTAGCTGGAGTATACGCTCTTCCAACTTTTTGTGGCACTCACATATCACACCAAGTGAGCAAGTACAAACAGGTTGAGGTTCTTCTCTAGGCTGAGAAAGGAGAAATGGTATCAAACAGGGTGTAAAGTTAGTAGTGGATCAACGGAATTCAGGTGATAGAGGGCCTCAAAACCAATCGGATGAACCCCATGTGTCGTCCGAAATTTTATAGTTCAGATATTTGCAATTTTGTGAAATTTCTAGAAAAACGGGATAATGAACTTTCAATCGCAATTACAACTAAACCATTAGGTTTAGAGCTGTGATTTTTTTTCTGAGATGCGCTAAATGGTCAGTTTTAGCAATGGTTATGTCACTTTTTAACAGAACTTATTAAAAAATCTGAAGTTCATCTTTTTGGTAAAAAATATCTTCCATCCTTCAACTTTGGAGGGCGGTAAAAAAATTGAGGTTGTATTTCACTATTCATTTTCACTATTCACTATTTTTTTATGTAATGAAGACTCTGTCGATAGTTGAGGCCTGTCTCCAGATATCAATATTATATGACAGGACCGAGTATATAAACGAATAGTAGACACTAATTAAGGTTTCAGGACTTACACAATTGTTTAGACTATTTAACTTTTTGCAAACCCTGTGGATATGGGTTTCCCAGTTTACGTGGCAATCCACCACTAAGCCCAAAAAATTTGTAGACAGAGAGAACTCGATGCTGTGGCCATTAAGGTACAAGTTAACATTACAGGATTGCTTCTTCACAGATCTTATATTCATAGCTACAGTTTTATCGTGATTAATCATTAGATTGTTTAGATTACACCAGTTAGCAAACTCTTGGAGCACTGTATTCACCTTCAATTGCAATTCTGTTTCAGATACAGCAGACACTACTGCAGTAGTATCATCCGCATATAAAAATACTTCACCTTCAGTGATGTGGTCTGGTAAATCGTTTATGAAAAGCAGAAAGAGCAGGGGTCCAAGAACACTATCCTGTGGGGTACCGATATCTTGATTATAATAATCGGACAATGATTCAAAAATTTTAACAGCAAACCTACGACCTGATAAGTAAAAAAAGTAAAAGAATTAATACGACCCCTTAGTCCCATATGTTCCGTTTTATTCTTAACAAAGATTCTGTCAGCTATATCAAACGCACGTGTCAAGTCAAATGATATAGTGAGCACAAGTTCCCCTCTGCCCAGTTTATCGGATCTGTATTGAATTAGATCAATGCAGCCCGACTCTGTAGACATACATTTGCTAAATCCATGCTGTCTGTTACTTAGAACGTTATACTTGATGATAAATTTATATATTCGGTCATACACGATTTTTTCAATAATTTTAGAGAAGATACTCAGTAATTACAGTGATCTATAATTATTAATGTCTTGTTGCACTATTATGGCTTTTTTGAGACCATCAGGAAACGTGCCGGTACAAACGGCAATGTTCCTTCCAAGCGACTATGCACAACGGGTTGAATTTTGTGAGAATATGTTGAGAAGGTGCGAAGAGGATGAAACTTTTTCCGACAGAATCTTATGGACAGATGAATCAACTTTAACCTAAATGGAATATTCAACATGCACAGTTTCCATTCATGGAGCGTGGAAAATCCACACGCTATTCGCCGACACAGCTTACAACGTCAGTTGGGCGTTAATTTATGGGCTGGAGTACTCAACAAAGAACTAATTGGACCATATGAATTGCCCGCCAGGTTAAATGGTCAGTCATACAGGGTTTGTCCGGAAAGTAATAGGACTGAGTCGATTTAAAAAATTTATTGAGCCAATCGTTACAATTCTTTAAAAACTTTCAAAATAGGCTCCTTCTGCGTCGATGCAGTGCCGCCAGCGTGATTTCCAAGCATTGAAGGTGCCACGGAAGGCATTCTCTGGGATAGGCTTGGATCCCCTCTGTCGTCTCAAAATGCTTGCCTTTCATCGGCCTTTTCAGGCGAGGAAACAAAAAAAAGTTCGTGGGGGCCACATTTGGACTGTAGGGAGGCTGCGGAAGCGTTGGTATGCCGGCCTTGGTCAGGTAGCTGTTCACAAGAAAGGCGGTGTGAGCCGGGGCGTTGTCGTGGTGCAACTTCCAGTCGGCTGCGATGTCTTGTTGGACCCGACTGACCCTTCGTTTGAGTCTCCTGATCACTTCCACGTAAAACTTGGCGTTGACGGTTTGTCCAGGAGTAACAAATTCATGGTGAACGATGCCTTTGATGTCAAAAAAGACAATGAACATCGTGTTCAGTTTGGTTTTGCTCATTCTTCCCTTTTTGGGCGAGGAGACGCCGTCGTGTGCCACTCAGAAGATTGCCTCTTTGTCTCAGGATCATACTCAATGATCCACGACTCGTCGCCTGTGATAACGTTATTCAAAAATTAGGGGTCCCTTTCACACATGTTCAAATTTTCTTGGCACACTTCCACTCGCCGCAATTTCTGGTCGTCAGTGAGCACTTTTGAGACCATCTTCGCGCACACCTTGCGCATGTTCAAATGCTGTGTCACAATGTCATGAACCACAGATTTTAGTAAATATAACATCTGGGCAATTAAACGAATACTTAGTCGACAGTCTGTTCAAAACTTTGCGCACACGAGTCACATTATCGGTGTTTGTCGAAGTCGAAGGTCTTCCAGCACGGTCTTCATCAGCGACCTCTTCCCGGCCCTCCAACAAGGCCTGGTGCCACCGAAGCACACCACTTCTTGCTAAAGCAACACCTGGGTAAGCCTGCTTGATCATATCAAACGTCTCTGTCGCACATTTACCAAGTTTCACACAGAATTTAATCGCGTACCTCTGCTCTAACGAACGTTGCATTTTCGGCTTGCACCACTCACACAAACACGTCGCGCGAAAATGCCTGTCCTGACTCTCCAAGTGCTCGAAGACAACTGACCAGCCGCTCATTCGTTAGCTAGGAACACCCTCTACCGAATCCAGTCGGTGCGCGCACGCTCCGAAGTACAGTCATGGCTGAAGAAAATGAGTCCTATTAATTTCCGGACAAACCCTGTATCTTGCCCTTCTACAAAGTAGTTTGCATGAGCTGCTAAAGGATGTACCTTTGGACGTTCGAAGCCGCATGTATTTTCAATGCGATGATGCCCCATGCCACTTTGCACGTGATTACTTAGACAGTACCTTTCCTAGGCGTCGGATAGGTAGAGGTGGACACATACGATGGCCTCCAAGGTCACCCGATTTAAATCCTCTAGATTTTTAGTATCGGGGTTTTATAAAGGGATAATCTCTATATCTGAATATACACATGTCGACGAACGGCGCCAGAAAATTGATGGAGCAAAAATAAAAATTATGGAAAACGCAAATTCATTTCAAAGACTAAAGTACAACTTTATTAGAAAGTGTCGCAAGTGTATAGAAAATAATGGAGGTCTTTTGCAGGGTTTATTCTACAAGGATTGAAATAGTTTCTACAATTGAATGAATAATGAAATACAATCTCATTTTTTTACCGCCCTCCAAAGTTGAGGGATGGAAGAGATTTTTCACAGAAAAATTAATTCGAGATTTTTTGCGCTGATTTATAATACGCTCTGTTGAAAAGTGACAATCATTGCTAAAACTAACCATTAGGCCCATCTCAGAAAAAAAATCACCGCCCTAAACCTAATGGTTTAGTTGTAATTACGATTGAAAGTTCATTCAAATTGCAAATATCTCCTGAAGTAAAAAATTTCGGACCACACATATAGGGGTTCATTCGATAGATTTTGAGGCGCTCTATCACCTGACTTCCGTTGATCCACTACTAACTTTACACCCTCTATTCAGTTTTCTAGACCCCTTATATGTAGGTATACAATAATACATATGTATGTTACCACAAATCGCGGTATTTATTGAACGTGAATATAGTATATGTTGTTTTTTCACGGATAAATATAGTTTTCTATAATGCTCCATGTTTGTCTGACCAGTGAAACCACATATACAGGGTGTCCCGCGAGGTAAGGGACAGAATTTTTCTACGTGTTCCTCAGGTCAGTTCGAGTGGAAAAAGTCCTATGAACATGGGTCCGCAAATGCTTCCTTATCGAGATAATGATTTTTTTATTTTTAGGGGGCTAATGGTGGGAAAACCACAATATTAATTATTATTATTAATAGTTAATTTTCTGAGAAATTGAATATCATGATGCCAAGTTCAAACGGTTAACATAAATAAGAATGTGTGAAAAAAACGATAAAAACTCATATAAGGTCTTGTTTTATTGACGTAAGCAAAAATATTTATTCATATGTACGAGTATGCATATTTCAAGATCAAATGCATACGATGCATAAAAAAACATAAAAAAATTCTTGTAAATGCGGGAGACGTGCTTATATCTATTAAGTATTCCTGCCAATTGATTGAACCTACATTTCAGTGGACTATTGTTAAAAATTTTAATTTGATAAAGTTACTATAGATAGGTTAAGCAATAGTTGACAAACTTAATCAATAGACCGTAAAACCTACTTGCCATAAGGAATCAAGTGAGGTTCTGTTCGATGGGTTCCCATGGCCACTTCCTTGCTTCATCATCAGATCATCTCCGTGCCATAATAATATTGCATTGTCTATTGTTATATTAAACGTCAGCCATATTCGATTAGAATGACGTTAAGTACTTTGCTTATTGTGTTTCTTTCATCAATTCCTTTCATTTGATATATATATAATATGGGGGTGACTATGGAAAGAACAAATCGATCAGCCCCCATAATGGACTATAATGACGTCACGTTGCTTACTGTATACTGTATCTCTTTCCCTTCTAGTCGATAAGCATATCATAGGGGTAACTATAGAAATTACAAACGCTATCTTGCAGCGGTCGGCATATTTGATTAGAAATGACATTTTGCTTATAGTGTTTCTCCTAAGCCCTTTCATCTGATTCCCCTATTATAGAGATGACTATGGAAATTATAAATTGCGGCCTCCGTCATATTGGATTTAGAATGGCGTCAGTTTGCTTACTGAATTTCTCTCGTCAAGCTCTTCCATTTGATACCCATATCCTATACTATGGAAAAAATATTTATGTAGCATA